CATTTATTGCAACTGCTGGGTCCTTATCCTCGTCCCCCCCCCTACCCCCCCGTTTTCGTTTTACGGGACGGGTATTTTATTTGTCTTTATATTTCGGCGTTTGTGTGTCCATTGTCATTCTGTGCTGTTCTAGTCCCCGGTTTTGTTTTTGTCTCTTCTTTTTACTAGATCTTCGGTTTCCCCTCTTTCGTATCAAGGGAGTGATAATATAAATAAATATATCAGAGTTGGATAACCCTACCCGCACTCTTTGGTCGTAATACTTTCAAGCCCTTGTATCACTCAACCATAGATATAGACTCAACTAAGTTTTATTTAATTTTGTCGCGGAAAATAGTGATAAATGAAGTGTCAGTCAAAAATGAGGAAAATCACGAGACATATACAAACCCAGGGCCCAGAAAAAAGAGGGGGCAGGACGGGGTAAAAACGTTTAAGATTTACTCCGTTCTCGATATTTCTAGTTCCATTTCAAACCCAAATTTAAATGATTGAAACCAAACCTGAGAGCTGGGGAGCTGCCGAAAGACAACAAGATACACGCGAACAATTGCATGTTTAACAGGGAAAGAAAATAATCCATTGTTGGCCTTGTTATAAACATATAAGGGTTTGATGTGTTGTCTAGTTTTTTATCGGCCTTTCACTATCTTTGTGAACGTTTCAATCAATATTCAAGACTCGCATGTAGTTTCTACTTCCTCTGGAAATTTCAGGATTGTAGATCTATTATAACGACCCAGAGCCCCTTTCTTTTTCCTAAAAATAGATTTTATGCAGTGATCTCCTGATTATGCAAATTTTATGGCAATGACCAATTGATGGAAATCTTATAGAAATGGTCTTTGGTGGACTACATGTAATTTCTAAAAAAAAAAAAGCAGTCAATGGTACGTTGTACAGCATCTTAACCGAAATCACCCAGTCAGCTTAAATCATTAAAATCGTCCAACATTCGTTAGTCTCGTGGCATTTCCTTCCAGTTATCCCTACTGTGAAGGATGGCATATGTAACTCGAGGAAGCCGAGGTGGACAAATTCTTATCTACAATGGTTTTGAGTACCAGAAAAACAAAACCAAACTTGATAAACTGCATAAGAGATATTGGCGTCCTGCATGTAGAGCCCCGCTTAGAACAAATTTTCAGTAAAAGGGGCAATCGTTACAGTGTATATTATTCACTTATATGAGACATGCAGATAGCTTAGTCTACATCAATCTACACCAAATTTTCATTTATAGAATGTACAAATGTCATTGACGAACCAAAAAATGGGTATTTCGTCATAACTATAATAAAATCAAATTAATCTTTTTTCTCAATATGTGTTATTACTCAGTTTAACTCTCGTTTATATTAAAGAGAGAAATCTATGTTGTGCATACCGAAAATGGGAAATAATGCAGCTTTGACTGTGAGTAATTGGTATGAATTATGGCCTTTTTGTGTTGTAGATTTCAATTAACCCACAAATGTACATAATTTAAGGCGCCGACCATTTATCTTTGTGAGGTGGGCATGTTTTTTCTTAATTGTTTGATTTGATTCATAAATCAAGCCCCCCAAAAAGTGTTTGATTTGAACGCTGTGTACCTGTTGAATAAATACTGTTTCTAAAAAAATATTGTTTTCCTGAAATAATTTGAAAAAAAAGTTTGCTTCTGCTAACTATTTAAAACCTTGTTTTGCTTTGTATTTTTATTGGAACAAAATACACTCTAGAAAAAAACTATTTTGGTGAAAAACAATCATAACAAAACAAAATCCAATGGAGGTCAATATATATGCGTTGGTTTAACTAGTTTCAAGTGTCTATTGTTTGTTCTTGTGTAATATAAAAATAAGGATATGTGGTATGCTTTTCAATGAGACAACTATCCACCAAAGTTCAAATGAAGTGGATGTAAGCAATTATAGGCAACCGTACAGCCTTCAACAATGAGAAAAACCCATACCGTATAGTCGGCTATAAAAGGTCCCGACATGAAAAATATGAAACAAATCAATTGTGAAAACTAACGGCCTAATTTTTAACAAAATAATTTACGAAAAACAAATATGACAGACATGAACCTACGACAACCACTGAACTACAGGCTCCTGATTTGGGACAGGCACATACAGAATGTGGCGGGGTTAAATATGTTTGAAGGCGCCAACCCTCTCCGTAACATGGAACAGTGGTGTAACAGTACAACATAAGAACAAACAATAAAAATCAGTTGAAAAGGGCTTAACTCATCAGATCGAAACAAACTGGACTAACGCTTGGTTTGTCTACCATTCATTGGTAAAGTCAAGAAAATTGAAGATTCTGTATTTTGCAAAGCAAATTATATTCCGACCAAAAAATTGTTAGGTCATAATTTCGTATATATATATCTATCCTAAATTGAGGTAAATTATATGGCCTTCCAAATACCGTTTCGATTCCTAACACCACTGAAGAGACATTAATTGTCGAAATCCGGATATGGTGTACAAATTTTAGCACCTCATGTTTGCGGTATACCATCTTCTCCGCAAGTTTATTGTTTTCTGTTTGGTAATAAATTAATAATAAGATCTATTTTGTTACATCTTGTGATCCGTTTATTTGGCAATCGCCAATGGCAGTCAGCAGGGTTTAAGTACATCAGTTGTTCGACCTGCTAGTCAAATGCGTTTTGTTAAAATATACTTTTTCACTCATTTGGTCTTTTGGAAAATGTTGTTTGTGCTGTATTTAGACCCCTCTACCAAGAAATTTGTTTTGCATGCACACGTATAAAAATTGCGGTTTTTATCCAACGCAATCATAGGTTTGAACGTTGTTTTCAATTTAGACTTGTTTATATTTTTTCGTTTGGGCTTGTATTATATTTGCCTTCGGGTTTATATGATCCGTTCATCCTATTTTGACTCTTTCAAAATTTAGGAGTCTATCCTAAATTGAGGTAAATTATATGGCCTTCCAAATACCGTTTCGATTCCTAACATCACTGAAGAGACATTAATTGTCGAAATCCGGATATGGTGTACAAATTTTAGCACCTCATGTTTGCGGTATACCATTTTCTCCGCAAGTTTATTGTTTTCTGTTTGGTAATAAATTAATAATAAGATCTATTTTGTTACATCTTGTGATCCGTTTATTTGGCAATCGCCAATGGCAGTCAGCAGGGTTTAAGTACATCAGTTGTTCGATCTGCTAGTCAAATGCGTTTTGTTAAAATATACTTTTTCACTCATTTGGTCTTTTGGAAAATGTTGTTTGTGCAGTATTTAGACCCCTCTACCAAGAAATTTGTTTTGCATGCACACGTATAAAAATTGCGGTTTTTATCCAACGCAATCATAGGTTTGAACGTTGTTTTCAATTTAGACTTGTTTATATATACATATACGGGATTCGAAGTCTATCCATACGGAAATAGTTCTGTACATCCGTTTTTTTTTAATTCTGTAAATACATAAACGATTTCTGTATGTACGAAAAGGCGCAAAAATACTTAATTGAATAATATACCTCTATACACAAATTTTAACTACGTAAATACAGATTTCGAATTAAGTATATAAAAAGTATTCGAACTACCTATAAAGTAACCGGAATTATTTCTGTACATATGTAATAACATATACGTTATAATACAGACATAATTTTTACATCGGATGACCGTCAGGGCATTCCGGTGTATTGCTGTCGCCTAGATTTCCATTACGTAACTTTCGTGTTGGGATTGTAACTGATCTATAAACATGATAAATACGCGGACATTATTGAGTGCAAAATAACATTCCTTATCGCTTGTTATAAATTCATTTTTTCAATGGATACTCCTAAAAATATTTTTTTAGAACATAAATTAATAATATGAAAATGTTTTGTCGTTAGAAATATATATAAGTAAAAAATCTTTGATATCTATGCACACGTGCAGAAAATGTGTGTTAACGCATGCGGAAGAATATCTCAAGAGTGTTTGCAATCTCCCATGCAGAGTTATCGGGCCTCGCTCTCTCTCAAGGACCGATAACTCTGCATGGGAGATTGAAAGTTTGGCGGGAAAATATGAATGCCTACTCAAATCCAATCTATTAGAAAAATCGAATTATTACAGAAGAGTGTCCACCATGCACTTGCACTGCACTATTATTAATATAGTAGAATACAATGATATACAAATGGATGAAAATTATATATACATGTAACTGCAATATAAAAATATTAATATAATGTATAACAACAAACCCGAGTATACTGATTTGTATCACTTCAATATCATATTTATTACGGTGAGGTTGAATTTCCTGCCATTTATTTATCATCCACGCACAAACTTGCCTAAGAAAAAAAATATCTGTACATTAACCTCACTTTCAGGTATAGAGATGTGATTTTTTTTTCTGAGACACATGCTTGTGACCATCCACAAGAATTTTCAGCCATCCGATGTTCAGTACTTCAGTACTTTGATTTTTTACCATGATACCGCGCAATTTATAATTTAATATATTATAAATGTAATATAAAAATGTCCATCAGATATTGATTGAATATTGTAAAGAAACATCTCCTCGACATATAACTGTTCCCTTTTATAAAACTGTCTATTAAACGTTTTAAAAACATCAGCAAAAAATATTTATTTATTTATTATAAAAAAATATTAACAAAAAATGTTTTTATATTAGCAATCAAACATTGGGATGAAATGTTATTGTAAAAATACCATTCACGCATAATTTCTGATGTAAACAAAATGTCTATAAAATATTTTTTTGAAAATATTTTTGATAAACATATATATAACCAGTCAATAATATCATGAAAATATTTTGTGTTAGCTTGGTAACTGGACAAACAAATTTTTAGCTAATACAAATATTTTCTTTAAAGAAAATGCAGGAACATGACTTTTTAAAATTACACTTTTTTTAGAAGTTAAGAATCGCAATTTATTAATAACCCATCTTATTATATTAATTATGGGAAAACAAATATTTGTTTTTCAGCTGATTACTCGTTCAGATGGAGAACCAATGTATGCAGAAGAATAGATGATACACCAGTTACAACACAGATGGTTTGTGGGATAGGTCTGAAACATCAACCAATCAATGGCGACAACACCATTCCTCAAACTTTTGAAACAACAATGAAAATGTGGAATATGCCTGATGATGATATGAATCGTTTATTGGATAAAGTATCCACAGGTTCAGAAAAGATCATGGATCGTATTATTGAATATGAGCGTGGGCTTTCCACAGATATCAAAGGAGGCGTTGGAGCACGAACTGAACTTATAAGTATGTCTTTTTCTTGCTTATGCTTTTTTATTAAGCTGACCTGACATAAAAGGGCATGCGAGATGTTAGCATCACAAGGCGTTGGAGCACGAACTGAACTTGTAGGTATGTCTTTTTCTTGCTTGGGCTTTTTTAAGCTGACTTGACATAAAAAGGCATGCGAGTTGTTACAAACACTTGGTATGCATCGTTGTAAACTTTTTCAAAGAATTAAATTAAAAAAAAAGAATAAAAAAATCTTGCTGCCAGTACAAAAAGTAATAAAAAAGCAAGCAGACAACAGACTGTTGTCTGCTTGCTTTTTTGAACAGTCAAGTAAGTAAATGTTTTTCCATTTGTTTGGTTGTGCGGGATGTATAAATCCGCAGCAACATCCTGTCAGAATGGAGACATTAAATCCCATGCCCTGTGCAGTACGAGTGCCACGCTCTCCAAGATCGTAATAACATGGTCTTTAATTTCATTTTTCTCTTATCTTATCCTACAACTGACGAAAAGTTCAAAATATAATGGATAAAATTTGTTTATGAAAAGCCCCATTCAACACTTCCTTTCAAAACACTAGCCTATTCTACCGTAGGAAATCCGAACAAGGGAAATATCAGTCTAATAAAAATCAAACCTCTCAGCACTCCCTTTCTGATATATCGCATGAGAGCCACGCACGGCAATTGGTTATTCTTAACGTCTAGTGACAAAAACTATATGCATATCAGTACTAGAACATGATAATGTGATTTGTATAAGAACCATGCTCTGTACTAGCTGTTTACGTTGAGTTGGATGTTTAGTCGTGCTAGTTGACACAAGATCAGGAACAATCCACAGAAAAACATGTCACCCTATCAATACACATAAATCTGAATCCGAGCTGACCATTATTTGATCCTACTACTAAATGTCACATGCTAAACAGAGAAGCAGCAAATACCAATGATAGTATTCAAGTCTTTGATTTGACCGGACTGCTAATCAAACCCAAGACCCTCAACACTAAACATGCTCAAGCCGAGCACAATACTTCTCACAAGTTGACCTTAGCTGAATTTGGCTAATGTTTTAGGTCTCTGTTGGTCATATAGCTCCTAACGTTGCTACGTATTTATACATCCTTGGCATTCAAATGTTTGTATTTGTTCGTTCCTGGTGAACATGGTGATACAGGAAAGCCATTCGGATGTACAAAATTTATCAAATGTTATGTTCATTGAGTCAATTTTACGTGAAGACGACTATAGAATGATTACAGCTGTACACGATATTAATATTTGATATTTCGTTTTTAATTTTGATAGGTATAGACTACGTTCTGGGAATGGTAGATGGACAGTTGGAAGCAGTTGGAATAGAAGTGAACAGTCATGATTGTACCATCAATTGTCAGTTGTTTGAATTCTTGAACCCCCATAGACAGGGAGAAGCAGTGAAACCACTAGTGGAGACTATGATAAGACGGTCTCAGCTGTTTGCCATGCAAGACAAACTGGTCCTTGTAGTCGGAGCTGGAGGCTTCAGCAAGAAGTTTATATGGGAAAGCTTTCGATCATTTGGCATCAATGTAAGTCAATTTATGATGGCATGCTGTATTTGTATTTGTTTGAGATATAGAGGATGGATTCAAGGTTTTTTGTACCCCTTTATATTCGAAAATATGAACACAATCACTCAAAAATAAAAAAAAAAATTGGAAGGAAAGTAATCCCATTTTAAAAGGGCTTTTGAAAAAATATCTGGTTCCGTTCTTGGTATTTAAAACGTTTTCAAGAACCACCATTTGAGACTGCATATAGATAAAGATATCTATATCTTTAAGTATAAAGAGGTGGTATGGTTGCCAATGTGACATATCTCAATTAGAGATCAAACAACGCCGTATGTCTTGCCATGATTGCCGTTATTTTTACCATAACGGACAATTGTGCACCCTTCCCTCGAACCCTGGATCGGTCCGTCCCTGTTGTATGACTAGAAAGCAGTGGATTAATTTCGTTTTACAATAGACAACACACAATACCATAGGCTTTCTATAATTAGATAAACAGACGACCCGGGAAAGAAATTCCGGTTATTTCAAACATAAATTTAAAGTGCTTTAATTATACACCATACCATTTTAACTATTGGTATTTAGATGTAGTACTGGCATGTACTCTTACATGTAGCATAATAATTTACCAATAGGACAATATATTATAATTTCTTGATTTTTCTGTATCTTCTAGGTTGTTCTTGTTGAACCAGATAGTGCAAGCTTTGGTGCAACGAGGTGTACAAAATTTATTCAGTACGATTTTCTTGACCATAAACAAGACGAGGCTCATGCTATAGACATAATTAAAATTCTCAAAGATGAAGGAATAGTTGTCGACGGGTGCCTTACCTTCTGGGAAGACTGTGGTCCATTAGCAGCAACGATTTGCGACATGTTAAAATTGAATGGTCCAGGAAAACGTCCAGCACACGTTGCGAAAAGGAAAAGCTGGACACAAAACGTGTTACGATCAAGAACTGGCGATATTCCGCACTTTCCGAGATCTCATCTTTATTCCAGTATATGCTGTTCTATAAAAAGTGAATCTGACGTCGACAAGGCTTTAGAGAAGATAAGGTTACCTGCAGTTTTAAAATTGGAATACGGGTCAAGTGGCGTCGGCGTAAAACCGGTTGCAGACCGTGTTGAGTGTATTAATATATGGCAACAATTATCATCAATTCTTCAGTCCGACGAAGATCACCCTGGTGTTGGGCTCGGGCATGGCAATGATATTATGCTTATGGAGAGAATAGATGGCACAGAACACGATATAGATATCATTATATTCCAGAGGCAGCTCATTGCTGCATTTGTCTCGGATAATGGACCAACCAGAAAGGGCTCTTACACTGAAACAGCAGCCTTACTGCCAACATGCCTACCATTGGATAGAAAAGGACAGCTTATCACTTCTGCTTATCAGTGTTGTACTGAAATTGGACTCGTTACTGGTGTTTTCAACGTTGAAATGAAAATGACAAAAACGGGACCAAAACTGATTGAGATAAATGCTAGAATGGGTGGTTTCTATCTGCGTGACTGGATAAAGACTTGCTATGGGCACGATCTTTTACTCTATGCGTTCATGGTTTCTTTGGGTATCAGACCAGTTATTACGAATATGGAACCAAAATGCACTCTTATGGGAATGATGTGTCTGTCATCCGTACACAAACAACAATTAAAAAATCCAAACAGTTTGAAATTCTTAAATGCGTTGGTTTCAGGAAATATTGTTCGGTATAACCAGATCGAGGCTTCCTTAGACGAATGTGGAAGTGAAAATGATGAGGAACCTTTTGCTAACATTGCTGTAATGGACAAGGATTTGGAAACGGCAAAAGCTAAACTGATCAATATCGGCAATGCTCTTGGCTTGAATACAAATAACTATGACTATAAATACTTACTGAGTCATTTTAAATAATGACTGTTAGCGGATAGGTGTTCTCAGCGATTACCGCTGTCGTCATTCATGAAAACCATTTATCATTGCTCAGCGATTACTGCTGTTTTCATTCATGAAAACCATTTATCATTGCTCAGCGATTACCGCTTTCTTCAATCATGAAAACCATTTATCATCAAGGAAAGATTGAACATTTCATGAATAGCGGACTTGTAAAGTTAGGAACAATGTACATACTAACAATCTTCGTCATTGCATTGAAAATCAATTTTGTATTTTGTTAATTTGTTTAGTTTTTAAAAAAAAACTAAAACAATTATTCATTTTGTTCCGTTTAGTTTGAAGAAAAAAAACATAAAAAAATCATTTAGTTCTGTTTAGCTAACAAAAAAAAAACATTCATTATATCGTTTTTATTTTTAAAGAGTTAAAAATTACTTGATATGTTTTTTTTGGGGTAAAGATGAAATGCAATCAAAAACCTATGGTACTGACTTGATATCTATATCTTCCAAGGTTAATCACTACCTTTGGTAGGTCAAACAAAATAGTGCAGTGAAGTGATCATTATTTAGATCATATCCAGTCAATGTCATGCAATTTATAGATGATATGTTATACTTTAATATTTTAATTACAATATGATGTGTATTTGAATTACCATACTTGTCAAGAAAACATTTATTTATTAAAAATTACACAAGTAATGAATGGTGTATGAATCTGTTATAAAAATAGGTTCAACTTCAAATATACAATCATGAACAAAGGGAGATAACCCCAACTCATATTTTAAAATTGCTTAGAAAAATACAATTCAATGTTTTATTTAAAAGTTCACAAAATTGCAAAACGAAAGCAATCTTTAACACTTCATTGCTCACAAGCATTTTGAATCACTTTAGTTTAATTGAATGATTTTATGCAGTTTGATTTGTTGATCGATTTCCACTGTTTACATCCATGGAATCCAATTTTACAGATGCGTTTAGACATTAAGAATAGCAGACTTGTTGTATATACTAGCTAGCACTCTTTAACAGTTAGTTAATTGTGTGTTGAGGATCTGAATTTTGCATTTTGTACTGTTTGCATAATAGCTTACATAATTTAATATTGTATTTACGTTGTATTAAAATTTTCTTTTGTTCGTTAAACATTGATCATTCAATTGTGAGGGAGCAATGTAAAGGAATAAAAATAATTTAAAGACATATAGAAGGCAATTGTTTTCAATTAACAATTATAGAATTTTGTCTTATCTTTTTATTATGTCAAGCTATTCCTAGCCTATACAAGTTGTGATTAAATTAAACAGAAACTATCCAAGATCTGCCATGATGATCTGAATTGGTATGTGTTCTGCACCACCAAGAGTCCTGAACAGACATAACATATTTGCCACTGAACGTTAAGTAACCAACAATCAATCAATCTTCACCTCCACTATAGGAGATCGAGGATATCCCCATTTAACCCATAACCCACATAAAATCTCAAAACACTGTACACTTAACTTCAAAATATTTATATTTATTATTTAAACAAAGAGGTTGAAATTCATTGATCTAATCAGTCCTGGCGTGCAAATTTTGTCAAGGACCAGAAAAAAATCTGAAGTTTTTTATACTATGCTATACATTACTTTACTTTTGACAGTGACCAGTTCAATTTATACACACACACAAATTAGAAATTTAAATATTATTTTCATTTGCACCAAATTCGCAAAACAAAATGAATTTTGTATAAATTTTCGACAGGTTACATATCCTGTGTTAGGATATTCTGGCACTCGGTCAAGTATAGAGACGACTCAAAGAAGTAAAAACCAAGCTTACAATCGGTGCAATTTGGAGAGAAAAATGACAATCATTTGAAAGCAGTTAATTTTTCCCCAAAATTGCACCGATTGTAAACTTGATTTTACTTTTTTAGTTGCCTTTACTTGACAGAGTACCATATGTCTTAAGTTACCCCAATGTCGGTAACCTGTCGAAAAAATTATAGACTCCAGAGTCAAAAGACGGCAATATGAAAATAGTCTCATAAAACCACAAGCCGAAGAAAGACTTTAAAAACCACAAGCCGAAAAAATACCTTAAAAATCACGAGCCAAAGAAAGACGGACACAGAAATATTTTAAAAAATACAAACCAGCCACAAAACGAATTGAAGAAATTAGCAACATGATGCCGCCAAAACCAGAGTTCAACTCGATTGCCTTTAATAATATAATATACTCCGTATAAATCGAGCAAGAAGTCGATTGCCTTTAATAATATAATATACTCCGTATAAATCGAGCAAGAAGTCAATGGTTTTATAATGAGGAATAGGATGATTGTTTCAATGGGAACATATTTATGGTCATCTGTAGCTGTTTAGGTTTCTGTTGCATTTTAAATAAAAATAATGTGCATTTTTGTTCTTAGTCTTGTTTATTCCAGTCGTTGCCTTTTACAAAATTGCGTGCAATCTATACAATCATTGTATTACTTAAACAACATAACGACTCGAATTAGGATCTAGAATGGGCATATCAGAGCTTTTTTTTTTTTGGAGAGAGCGCATGATCAAGACCTGTCGGATATTAACTGTATAATAAATTATCTTGTGTAAATTGTGTTAAATTTTGTATGGATAGGACTTCACTGTAAATGTGTAAAACAAACTGTCGAACGGTGGAGAGAGTACCAACACTAAACAAATCACCTGTGCTATTTTGAATATGTCTACTTTGTCGATTTTGTGGGTTTTTCTTTGTTTCGTCCTAGACTTTCAATGCGAGACATGGATTACAATCCGGTGGCAGCAGTGGCATTAACATTCGTATAAACTCATGTTACGAAGTTTTCGTCTACCAAATGTCCATTTTGCTTTACCTCATTTTCATATGGTTAAGTAACTGCTTAAAAAAAATGTATTTTTTATATGAATTTCTCTTTTATTATGAGTACAAGGATAACTTTATTTGGTATATGGGTTCCTTTTAAGGTCTACGTGTCTGTCAGACAGGGTTCACCTGACCTTGACCTCATTTCATGGATCAGTGATCAAAGTTAAAGTAACGTGATTGGGTCTGTTTCTCAGATACTAGATTTGGTTTATGGAATGATTGTAAGGTATACAGTTCTGACAGTATCGACTGTCCTTGACCTTATTTTCATGGTTTATTGATAAATGTTAAGTTTCCGTAGTTTGATCCTATTCTCAGATACTATAAGCCATAGGTCAACTATATTTGGTGTATGGAATGATTGTAAGAAGAACACGCCTGTCTGGCAGGGTTCATCTGACCTCGATTTCATTTTCATGCATATATATGGTTCAATGGCCAATGTTAAGTCTGATACTTAGATACTATAAACAAAAAGTAAGGTTTAGATGTTTATCTTGCATGTAAGATATGACCTTGGCCTCATTTCATGGTTTATTGGTCAATTTTAAGTTATAATGGTTTAGACTGTTTCTTGGACACCACAAGCAATAAGTAAACTATATTTGGTGTATGGAATGATTGTATGGTTTACATGTCAGTCTGGTAGGGTTTATCTGACCTTGAACTCACTGTCATGGATCATTGATAATGTTAAGTTTATGCGATACTCTAAAATATGTATCTTTAAAATTTTCATCATAAAATCAATCGTGTTCAGAAAAGCAGGCGAGACATTTCAGTTTGTGCACTCTTGTTTTTTTATTTGGTTACTGAAATTTAGACGTTTGATCAGCATCTCCGTTTAATATTCAGACCCTAGATGTTGGCGGAGTGAACATTAAAAGACAAAGAAAGAATTATTTCTTTCATTTTCTGTCTGTACTGATTGACGTGACATCTTCATATCAAATGTTAACGCTAGAAAGAAAGAAAACCGGGGAGTAGTCAAATGGTTTCAAAAGGAGGTTCGGTAGGTAAATTATTTTTTTTTTACTTTCAAACAACCTGGTTCTACATTTTGACTGATTGATAACGATTCATTGATTGATTGTTGGTGTTAAACGCCCCTGTCAAAACTATTAGCTATATTGCTGCGATCAGTTTTTATTGGCAAAGAAAACCGGAGTGCCCGGACCGAACCATCGACCTTAGGCAGGACCACTGGCAATCCCAGTCAATAAAGATTGGAGTCGATCGAACGCACCTGCCACTTGGGGGTTTTTAACACTCAGTGTTAAAAACTTGACAGGCTAATGATACAGAAGATGAACTACTTACACCACTCGGCCACTGAGGTCCCGTTCTGCATTTTGAAACTGCACTCTAAAAACATTTTGAAAGGAAATAGTTCTAGTTACCGATGTGTTATATATAGTGTTCCACTTACCTTGGGTTCCCAAACATCGATTTCCAATGTAGGCTGTAATGGTCATTTATTAGGTCCTTAGATTTTCCCTAGATTTATGTTTTTCAACTGTGGAATTTTACGTTTAAACAACTTAAGGATTTGCACGATTAAACGATTTTTAAAAGATTAAAATCTACCACTTTGCTAATTTAGATATGTTTGTTACACCGAGTGACAAAAAATCTGAAGAAGCAAATGAAAAATCTGATTTTAATCAGATTGTAGATAACTTGAAAAATAATTAGAGTAGATATAACTTTTCAAACAATAACACAATTTTAGACTTTTTGTGGTGACATCTTCCTGTATGAGAATGGTCAAGGTTGATATACAAATTAAATAATATGTTTACAATTAGATAAGAAATTATATATTAAGCGTAAAATAGCAGGATAGCAACATCCAACAGCCAGCGCATCATTTGCTATATCATATGAATTTGGAAATGTATAGGGTTATATAATTGATAAATTAAATACGGGTTCAGCAAGAGTTTTAACCCGTTTTGAACTTTGACGCTTGTAAGTATTCAATTTAGATGTAGGCTTCTCATATCTGTGGGGCGTCAGCCAAAAAGATATGAGACGACTACATCTGATTTACATAAAAGTAATAAATAAATATTTTATCTTTTCTCATGTTCTAAAAAGAGCAATTAGTTTTGATAAAACAGGAAAAGTGTCATTAACTTAAATTTTCCAGATGCAGTAACTTTTTCATCAGATGTTTTGTCGATGGATTTGAAATGAAATCTTAATTGCGTCTGTTTTTTTCTGTCATCAAATTGATACCTTATCACTGCTTTTTGTATGGCAAAATGAATCGCTGTACTATCTTGTCTTTTTCTGGATGAATTGCCAAAATCTGAACTTTTTGCTGTTAAAGGATAACACTTCTATGTAAAATTAACATACACAACGTCATGCACATGTTTTCGAACTACTGAGACGCAGTGGTTTCCATTATCAATCATGTAGTTAGTTCACTGAAGGTTCATGGATCTTATTCTAAAAACAATTCACCACTATACTTTGAACGATCAAAATATAGGTTTATATGTTTATATATTTAAGTTTTTTTTTAAATTCTAAACATCCTAATAAAATTGAGAATGGAAACGGGGAATGCGTCCAAGAGACAACAATCCGACCAAAGAGCAGAAAACAGAACAACTCCACCGATGGGTCTTCAACTTTTCAAACAATAACACAATTTTAGACTTTTTGTGGTGACATCTTCCTGTATGAGAATGGTCAAGGTTGATATACAAATTAAATAATATGTTTACAATTAGATAAGAAATTATATATTAAGCGAAAAATAGCAGGATAGCAACATCCAACAGCCAGCGCATCATTTGCTATATCATATGAATTTGGAAATGTATAGGGTTATATAATTGATAAATTAAATACGGGTTCAGCAAGAGTTTAACCCGTTTTGAACTTTGACGCTTGTAAGTATTCAATTTAGATGTAGGCTTCTCATATCTGTGGGGCGTCAGCCAAAAAGATATGAGACGACTACATCTGATTTACATAAAAGTAATAAATAAATATTTTATCTTTTCTCATGTTCTAAAAAGAGCAATTAGTTTTGATAAAACAGGAAAAGTTCACAGCGAGAAAATTCAGCACCCGGAGGCGGGCTTCAGCTGGCCACTAAACAATAATGTATACTAGTTCAGCTAATGCACTAGTTAAGCACGTCACATCCTATCCTAAATCTACATTTTATTGTTTTTGAATGGTATGCTGGGTAAGCCAGTTGGTTAGAATGGTATGTAGGGTAAGCCAGTTGGCTTTAATGATATGCTGGTTAAACCAGTTGGCTTGAATGGTATGCTGGATGAAAGTAAGGAGATTTGGTATAATGATTGTTAATGAGACTTCTATCCAAAAGACAGG